ATATACATATACATATATATACAATATACAATGTACATAAACATATACAATATCCAATCCAGTATCGGCCTCAGATACCAGCATAGTTTACGTATCAGATTTTTCCGATCCATGTGCCGATATTTCCGATCCATGATGCATGTCTGTGGTTGCGCTGCACGTTGGCTTCAAACTATGGAATGGATTTCCTGAATGGCGGCGTGTCTCACGAACCCAGAGTAATACCATACCACTTTATTTATAGAGCACCTAAAACAGCGACAAGGCCAACCAAAGTGCTGTACAGACAGAACAACAGGTAACACACAAAGCAAAGTACAAAATGAGGTAAATTAGAATATAGACATAAAAACGATGCAGATAATGACGACAAACCAGTGTGAAGCATACAGGATCAAAACACAGATCATCTGGTGTTGAAAGCTACTGAGTAGTAGTGAGTTTTTAAACGGGACTTGAAAACTGAGAGGGAGGGGGCCTGTCTGACAAGCAGAGGTAACTCGTTCCAGAGTCTTGGTCCTGCTACAGAGAAGGCCCTGTCACCTCTGCGCTTAAGACGAGTTCCTGGAACTGTGAGGAGCAACTGGTCCGCTGACCTCAGGGAACGTGGTGGGACATACGGTTGTAGCAGATGGGGTGGGGGGGCGAAACTGTTCAGTGATTTGTAGACATACATGAGTATTTTGAACTGGATTTGAAAGTGAACCGGTAACCAGTGCAGTGAGGCCAAAACTGGTGTAATGTGCTCTCTTTTGCCTGTACTGGTTAAAAATCAGGCTGCTGCATTCTGGACCAGTTGTAGTTGTGCTATAGAGGTCTGACTGATACCAAACAGGAGCGAATTGCAGTAATCAAGCCTAGATGTAATGAATGCATGTATTACTGTCTCCAGGTTCTTTTTGGACAATATGGTCTTCAGTTCAGACAGCCACCTCAGTTGGAAGAAACATGATTTAACAATCATGTTTACATGATTGTTAAGTTTCAGGGAAGGGTCTATTATCACTCCCAGAATAGTGACTCTTTGTTTTTCTGACAGGGTTAGAGCGGAGAGGTCGATGCAGTGGTTTGTGATTGTGTCGTTGGGAGAGAACAACACGACTTCAGACTTTTTTTCATTGAAACTTAAGAAGTTTAAAGCCATCCAGTCCTGATGTCAGCCAGGCAGTCAAGCAGCAGTTGAATAGAGCATGTACCATTGTGTCTTAGGGGGAAGTAAATTTGACAGTCATCGGCATAGAAGTGGAAGGGCATGTTGTGCTTCTGGAAAATAGCACCAAGCGGCAGCAGGTATAAAGAGAATAGAAGGAGACCCAGGATGGACCCCTGCGGAACCCCCCATTTAAGCTCTGCCTCTGCAGAACTAAAATCCTTGATGGAGACACAAAAGGATCTGTCAGTGAGGTAGGATCTGAACCAATTGAGGGCTAACCCTGTGATGCCCACCCACTGCTCTAACCTAGCAATGAGGATCTCATGGTCGATGGTGTCAAAGGCGGCTGTGAGGTCCAACAGGACAAGCAGCACAGAATCACCAGTATCTGTGAATCTGAAGATGTCGTTAAAGACCTTCAGCAGGGCAGTTTTAGTGCTGTGGAGAAGTTTAAAGCCAGACTGGAATAGCTCTAAGATGGTGTGACCTTCCAGGAAGCACTTCAACTGGGACTCGATTATTTTCTCCAGTACTTTAGAAATAAATGGGAGTTTGGAGACAGGCCGGAAGTTGGATACGACTGAAGGGTCAAGGTTTGGTTTTTTCAGGAGAGGCTGGACAGCAGCATGTTTAAAGGGTTTTGGCACTACACCAGTGGATAAACTACTGTTTACTATATCAAGAATGGACGAACCTAGAGTAGGAAAAACCTCCTTTAGTAGTCGAGGGGGGACCACATCAAAGGGGGAGCCAGAAGGTTTCAAGCTGCACATGACCTGCTCTAGAGAAGATAGAGTGATGGGTTCAAAATGGTCAAAAGGAGCTACAGATTGAGGTGGGATGGATGGGTCATGAGTTGGAGGGGAAATGAGAGCCCAGGTGGTCTTGGTGACGTCACTCAGCCAAGGTTCTGCTCTCAGTTTTGATTTTCTAGTTTTAACAGGAGCAACATGATCCAGAGTCTTTAAGCAGACAGAGTTGAACTGGGATGTCAACTCCTCAGTGGTGGTGAGGAACACCGGGGGCTGAATGATCATTTCAGAGTTATAAACATCTGTGAAACGTGTGGCAGTGAAGTGGTTAATGGTCCGGGTGCTACGTGCAAGAATGCACGGCTTAGGAGTTAGATGGGGGAGGGTGAACTCAAACTGGACTGGCATGTGGTCTGAAAAAACATTATCACCAATAACAAGATTATTAACAGCCATATCATGAGTTAAAACAAGGTCCAGTGTATGTCCACACTCTTGGGTGGGACCGTTTACATGCCGAGTTAAATTAAATGAGTCCAATAAATCTAAAAAGTCCTTAACCAAGGGCTTCTCAGGACAGCACACGTGCAAATTAAAGTCACCAATAATGAAAACATGCTCATATTTTGGTGTGATTTCAGCCAAGAAGTCAGAAAACTCATTTATGAAATCCTTAGATCGAGGTGGACGGTAGACAAGTGCAAATAACATCTGAGGTGAATGTCCGAGTTCAAAGACGCTCAGCTCAAAGCTGGCGCGGGAATCTGGGATGGGCAGTTGTTTACAGTCAAAAGTTGATTTGAATATTGTTAATAATCCACCACCGTGCCAGCCTGGTGGCCGCGGTGCGTTAAAGTACAGACAGTTCGGTGACAATAATTCCGTCAAGGCGCTGGACTCACCCGGAGACATCCAAGTCTCTGTGATGCACAGAAAGTCTAACCCGTGCTCTTGAAAGTAGTCCCTGAGGACTACTAATAAGACCCGCTTCACATTCAGGAAATCCAGTTCATAGTTTGCAGCCAGCTACACATGAGGACTGAGTTAGCAGCACTGTGGCTAACAGCTAACAAACTTTTCATCTAAACATGTCCGCTGTGTGGAAGTATTTTACAATAGAAACACAACAAAACAAGACAGCAACGTGCAATGTCTGCAGAGCCATAGCACCACATTAAACCGCAGTACAGTTAGTTTTACGTTGGACATTCGAGCTCTGTGGCTTCAGCGGGGTGCTACTCTCGCTGAATCCGAAAGAGGCGACTTGACCCCGGCCAGCCGCGTCCAATCTGCCCCGCTGAGTCTGCCCGTCTCTGAGGAGGGACAGACTGAGCGCGGCTGACCCAAATCAGGCTGCCTGCTTCGGATTGAACAAGAAGTAGACATCGCTGAAACCACGGAGCTCAAATGTTTACAGAGAAGTTGCTAAACTTCATCATAATTAATGATCAACCACTATCAGTTGTAGAAAACGAAGGATTTCTCAGCTTGATACTTGCAGCCAAGATATAGTTTACCCTCCAGGAGATTCAATTCAATTCAATTCAAAAATATATATTATATATATATATAATATATATAATATATTCATCAGTACAACAGTAGACAATCATAAAAAAAACATGTTTTGAAAATTATATATATTAAAAACATAAACCGCTACATTATAAAGTGATGTAAAATGCTAAAAACAGGAACATGTCTGTTGGTTTATGTCATGAACACAGCAGATGTTTGAAGCCATTTAACATTTAATTTAATTTAATTCATTTATTCATTCATTTACAAGAAACAAAATAAAAAAAAATCATCAAAAAGAAAACATTGAATGAAAAGAGCGCAGAAAGAAGAAAAAAACTTATATCTGCCCCTTATTTAAAAAAATATAAAATAACTTTATTTAAACAATCACTTAAATTAATCACTTTAATATCCACTTTAAAGTTAGGAATAAGTTAGGATCGGAAGTAAAAAAAGTTGATCGGTGCATCCCTATGTTTGAGTATAGATATATACATTGATATATATATATATATATATATATATATATATATATATATAGTATGTACAATACTCACATCTGTACAGTTACAAATAAAAGTAGCATCTAAGACAGTGCATGTGCTAGTTAAATTTGTAGTAGCCAGTCTGTTCTTAGTCATTTCTATGAAGCAAAGCAGCAATCTGAGCTCTATCCAAGAGGTGCACTGATCTAAAACAGACCAGACCAGATGTGCAGCTATCAGCGAGTAGCAGGACCAGATGTTCAGCTGTGTGACCGTTTCAGTCGGGGAGAAGGTCAGCTCCAAAGAAGGTCTCATATTCGTTTTTCAACACGTGGTTTGAAAGGGAGGACGTGACTCGCAGTCGGCTGTTAGCCTCCAGGAAAAACACGGAAGACGAGTAGAGGGACTTCTTCCAGTTTTTGGGGCACGTCGTCGTGTCCACAGCTGTCAGGAGCATCAGGTCTCTTTGGTACGAGTCGTGGTAACAAAACACGGAGTAGGTGAGCAGCAGCACGTCCGATTTACAGGACTCGGCCTCGCCCTCAAACGTCATCTGCACGTAGACTCTGTAGTAGCCCTGTCTGGGTACCACCAGATCCCCGTCAGAGTACAAGAAGCCTCCATTGCAGTGAACATTTCCCTCTTTGCTCTCCCACAGAAGATATTTTCCATGAGGATTAGAAATATTTGAAGCTGAGAGACAAAACAAAATGAATTCAGTTAGAAATCTTTTTCTGCGCAACATTAAGTGTGATAAATGAAACTCAAAACCACAGAAAAGGTTCAATTGTGACAGGACCCTTGAGCTCCAGCTGGTCTGACTGCAGCCGAGACAGACTCATTACATCACCCCCGTTCATTCTGCGTTAAACATTTAAGTACATATGGGTGTAAACAAGAGCTGACTTTGACAGTGAAAGTAATTTGTTTAAGGCGGGGGTGGGGGTGGTGTCAGAAGTCCTAATGTATTCTGACCATGACTGATCTCAGCCTAAACCCTCCAGGGGGTGAAAATGTTTTACAGGCACTGTACATTTGTACAAATCAAAGTTATTTATTTATTTTTTGAGGTATGAACTGTAGAATCTGTTGACAGTGGCTCATTATGGTCCCCATGGTAACTACACACCTGTGTCTGTCACTCCCTGACTCTTTCAGTGTCTGCCCTACATGTGATGCACAGACACCAGAAGTCACAGCACAACAATCAGGCTGCACGTCTTGATTTGCATCTTTGAGTTGCAAAGTGTGAGACGAGATAAAGAAACTAAAATATTTGAACAGGATGGTAAGAAGGGGGATTGAGCACTGACACCCCCCCCCCCCCCCCCCATGACCAACCCAGCAGACTTTGCCGATATTTAAATGTTTAAAATTTCATATAGTCTGTGGAAACGCTGTTAATCCAGCTCTGACACTGGAATTAGACAGATTAAACTCCTCCCTGATTGGAGACAACCTCCTCGACTTGAAGTAGAAGACCAGATGAAAGTTCTCCTGAGTGCCCACCTGTCAGCCGGGCTCCTGGCTTCTTGCTGCCGCTCAGGTCTTTGGATGCAGGAGTCTCCACTTGCTGATTTCCATCAACACCTGTGGAAGAGACATTTCTTGGTCTCAAATAAAATCAGAAGCCACCAGATCTTTTCTCTGGAAGTGTAACGCAGAACAATCTACGGACCTGACTGAAGAAAGTCCACCTTGTTGTGCTGCAACGACACAAACACAACGAGTGACACAACTGAAGGCAAACACAGGAAACATGGACCGTTGATGGTTTGAACGCACGGCTCAGCTGTTCCTACAACAATCACAGTGTCTGTGTGGTGTGTGAGGACGGTGTCTCCATGACTGACGCTGCTGCTGTCCACAAGCTGTAGATTTATTTAAGGGCCTTCTCCTCCGCCCTGTCCTGGAACACCTGACGAAAAGATCTCAAGCTCTCGACCTTGACCTCTCCAAGAGATTTGAAACATCAAGTTCATGACAAAAACCAACGCAGACAAGTTCCTGCTTCAAGTTTTTTATATCGCTCTATAATGTTTCGTTTTGTTTTTATATCGTTTCTTTTAGTTTTCATTTATATGCTTTTATATGGTTGTTGTTGTGTGAACCTCATCTGGTCTTTGTTTAAACCAGGTCTCTCTTGTAAACGAGCCCTCGCTCAATGAGACGAACCTGTAGAAATAAAGCTTGAATGAATGAATGAATAAAATAAATAAAAGAATAAATCAGTTACAAGCTGCTTTTAGCTCAAATAAAACCAGAAGAAACGTTTTAACACAAGTCAGTAATTAGAAACTCCAAGTAAAGAATATAATAGTTTAACATTTGTCTTTTAATGTGTTTGTTGTTCTGCTCAGACTTTGTTTGTTTCTCATGTCTGTAAAAAGACACGAGTGGGTTTGAGTTTTATTCTCATTCTGCGCGCGCGCGTGTGCGTGTGTGACTAATGGTTTTAGTGAGACAATAAATCAAAAATTAAAACAAACTATCTCCGACTGCTTTAAAAAAAAATCGATTATACAATATCTCGTGATTTTCACGCGACACATGTGAAACATGTTTTGCAGTTTCCAGCTTGAACGTGGAACACAAACATCACGACACGTGCACGGCGTGTTTCTTCTTTCATGTTGAATAAAGAGCCGCCGGCTCTTCTTCATCTCAGCCGCCTTTGATGTGAAGCGCCCCGCGCACGCTGCTTCACCATAACCCACACCAACCGAGCAGCGCGTGCGCGTCTCCTGCGCGTGCAGAAACAGCTGGGACCGTTTCATTAATGTACTACTGTGACCTGCAGCCGTGTGTTCGCCAGTGGCGGGCGCAGTAAAAAGAACCACCGAACCTCCGGACTCACCTGGCTGCTCTTTGGCCGCAGCTCTCTGAGTCCGAGTCCGGCCGTGACGAGAGCCGCCACGAGCCCGACCAGCAGCAGCGCGAGCGCCGCCAGGACCGCCCGCCGTGCCGTCGCCCTAAGGCCGAGCTGCTGCAGATGGAAACCCGCCTCTGCTCCTCCTTCGCACGCGCAGCGGCAGCCGTCCTCCTCCATGCTGCTCAACTCCCAGTCGTCGACCAGCTGCGGAGTTCTGCTCCGCTTCTCCATTTATCCAGCCGCCGTCGCCCACGTTGAGAGCCGCGCGCGGCACCGAGTCTCGATTCAGAGGTTTCACCCAGACTCAGGAATGAGGGACGAACTTCCTGTTCCTCAGGGTGAGTCTGGGCTGAGCAGAAGTTCTGCTGCTGCTGCTACACACTGAGAACAACCCTGAGAACACGAGAACAACCCTGAGAACACAGAACAACCCTGAGAACAACCCTGAGAACACGAGAACAACCCTGAGAACACAGAACAACACCGAGAACAACCCTGAGAACACAGAACAACACTGAGAACAACCCTGAGAACACGAGAACACAGAACAACCCTGAGAACACAGAACAACCCTGAGAACACGAGAACACAGAACAACCCTAAGAACACGAGAACACAGAACAACCCTGAGAACAACACTGAGAACAACCCTGAGAACACGAGAACAACCCTGAGAACACGAGAACAACCGAGACATGTCTTCATGAGTGAGAATGATTCGAGCTGAAGGAGCTGAAGGAGCTGAAGGCGTCACTAAACTGTTCAATTTGAACAGTAGCAGCAGAAAAACGGCTAAAATGTGTGGAAAAAGCTGAATAGAGCAGAATATGCTGAAACAGGCCAAGAGGTTGATTAGATGACAAAAATATGAAATCAGCACAAAAAGGCTGAGTTTAGCTGAATGAAGCTGAAAAGAATTTAAAAAAGATTAAATGATCAGACAGCAGCTGAAAAGCAATAAAAACAGCTGAAATGAGCACAGCACAAATGATGGAAGGATGTGGAGAGAGCTCCATTCATTTCAACGAGACAAACATGGCTGAAAAATATTTCAGAGTAAAAACTGCACAAATACCGAAGTCAGCGCAGGAACGAGCCGAACGTTTCCAAGCTTGAATTGTTGAAGAAACAAAAAATGCGGAACAAGTTATGTGCTGAAGATTTAGAGAAGAAAGATGTGTCAACACTGAGAATGATGTAGAAACAGCCCACCTGAAATATGTAAACAAAAGGCTTAAAGGGGTAGTTCACATTTTCTGAAGTGGGCTCTGTGGAAAAAACACTAAAAACATTGTTACATCACCCGGCAGCCAGTTTTCAACTACGATCATCTTACGAGGACAAATGATGGAGTTGTAGTCGTGAAAATAAAGTTATTAATAAAGTTTTCCATGTAATATTGAAGGGCAGCACGGTGGAGCAGCTGGTGGAGCTGCCGCCTCTCAGTGAGCTGATCTCCCCGGTTCAAATCCCAGTCCAGGGGCCTTTCTGGGTGGAGTTGGCATGTTCTCTCCGTGCATGCGTGGGTGTTCTCCGTGTACTCCAGTTTCCTCCCACAGACCAAACACATGCATGTTGGGCTGACTGGTAACTCTAAACGGTCTCTAGGTGAGAGAGTGAATGGTTGTTTGTCTCTGTGTCCCTGTGATGGACTGGAGACCTGTCCAGGTGTCCTCCGCCTCTCACACAGTCACTGCTGGATATGGGCACCTGTGACCCCCGTGACCCAAAAAGGAAGAAGCGGGTGAAGGTGATGGATTGTTGGAGCGTGTGTTTGAAGACTCTCAGCTACCACCTCACCAGTTAGCCTCTATCTGGAAAACATTTTGCTGGTGACCGACTCCAAAATGGTATTTTGAACGTTTCAATTAAATCCATCAGTGATTCATGAGATGTGATGATTTGATCCCCCGCCCTGAACCGTGCCCAAGTGTCCTCGAGCAACACGCTGAGCTGCATGTTTTTCTTTCGGCTGCTCCCTTCTGCAGGGGTTGCCACAGCAACACGTTTTACAGCAGACGTCCTCCTGACTCAACCTGGGCTCGAACCTTCAGGTTTAAAAGACCACGGTGCCGACCACCGAGCCACCGCATCCCACAGGTTCTGTTTATGGTGTGCGTACACCGTACTGGTGTGTGTGCAGCGTACTGGTGTGTGTGCAGCGTACTGGTGTGTGTGGACTGTACTGGTGTGTGTGCAGCGTACTGGTGTGTGTGCAGCGTACTGGTGTG